TTTCACGCGGATATAAGCGGGGGCGCCGTTGGTCGTTTTGATGCGCCTCCGGCATTTCGCGGTCAGATGGGTGTCAAACTTAAGCCGGATATTTATGAGGGGAACGTACCTTTACGCGAGTATCTTGCGCAATTTAACCTAATCGCTCGAGCGAACCGTTGGAAAGACGACACAAAGACCGCTATTTTGGCGTCGTGTTTGCGAGGACGAGCACGCGCAATTTTGGAAAACATACAAAATTTAGAGAATTTGCAATTCGAGGAATTGAAGTCGAAACTTGAGATGCGTTTCGGGAAAACGCAAACGTTGCAAAGTTATTATTCGCAGTTCACGAACAGGAGACAAAAATTCGGGGAGAATATTGCCTCGTTAGGCTCAGATATCGAACGGTTATCGCAATCGGCATATCCGGAATGTTCCGATACGGTTCGCGATAGAATCGCGGGCGCACAATTTATTTCCGCTCTATCCGACGGGTTCGTAAAGGGAACTCTACAAATCGAAGGAGTAACGTCTCTCAGAGTGGCGATTGAGCGTGCAAAATCGGTTAAATTAATACAGGAAATTTCAGTGCAAAAAAGGAAATTATAATTACGAAAAGAAAAAGGGGAAAAATTTTTATTTTGAAAAACAAAAAAAGAATCAGAACGAAGATGAAGACAAAGAAAGAAAATTTAATAAAAATAGATTTAAAAAATTTGAAAAGGAAAGGGATTTTAAGGAAATTAAAAAAAGCAATAATAAAGAATGTTGGGAATGCGGTAAAGAGGGACATTTCCGATCAGAATGCCCAGGTAAATCGGTAAACCGGGAATAGTCGAACTTTGCGGGGTGCGTTCGACTAATTTGAGAGATTCCCCGAAAAACTTTAGTTGTAATAATAATCAATGTTCTTTCAGGTTCAATAAGTTTAAACGTAATTTAACGAAATTCTGTTTCCAAGGAGAAGTAAATAATAAACGTTGTATTTTGAGAATTGATACAGGCTCTGATGTGTCAATTTTGAATGATAATTTAATTGAATCAAATCAATGTAAAATTAAAATAGATAATTGTAATTTAACATATCCTACGGGGGAGAAGGTTTCAATTAACTATACGGTGCACACAAAAGTTCGGCTAGCAAGCTATGCAGTTGAAATTCCAATGTTAGTGGTAAAAATTAATGATTGCATTCTTGGTATAGATTTTCTCGAGAAACTTAATTTAGGGAATATCTTTGAGTCTATCTTTAATAGTCAAAAAGAAACATTGTTATACATAGAAGAGAAGAATGACGTTCAATGTTTCCGCGTAAACAAATCGTTTGACTTTGATGTTCCTTCGAATTTGAGGTCTCTTTTTGAGAAAGATTTCGAATATTTAACGCAATCACAAAAGAAACTTTTTGCGGAATTGTTAAACGAATTTAGTGATGTATTTTCTGAGCAAATTGTCGCAGGAAATTGTGAAGTGGGTGAACATTTAATTAACTTAAAAAATTCTCTTCCCATTAAACAGGTTCCACGTCGAGTTCCTTTTCATATGAGAAAAAAAGTTGATGAAATTATTGAAGAAAAATGAGGGAACAGGGAGTAATACAGGAATCCGTGAGTCCTTGGATGTCGCCAGCTATCTTGGTAAAAAAGAAAGACGGGACGATAAGATTTTGTGTTGATTATCGCAAGTTAAATGCGGTTACTAAAAAGGATTCTTATCCTTTACCCAGGATAGATGATATTTTCGATCAACTTTCAGGTAGCTCTTGGTATTCCACGTTAGATCTGAAAAGTGGATACTGGCAGGTTAAAATTCGACCGGAAGATAAAGAGAAAACAGCATTTTCGGTCGGAAATGGATTATGGCAGTTTAAGGTAATGCCATTTGGTTTGTGTAATGCTCCGGCGACTTTCGAGCAAGTAATGGAACAGATTCTTCAGGAATTACTTTCAAAAATTTGTCTAGTCTATCTTGAGTATATGATTATTTTTAGTGAAAGTTTCGAAGAAATGATAGGAAATTTAAAAAAGGTATTCTTACGAATGCGAGAGGTCCCGGGTTCAAATCTCGGACGAGCCCCCAAAATGTTGCGCCCAATGCACGAGATTGCACTCGGATAGTTACGCGCACTCCTGAGCCACAGAAATAAAGAGACTCAAGGCTTAAAGAGTAGGAAATAAGAAGCCATTTATTCAGTAACGTCGGCATCATGAGATCGTCAGTACATAAGTAGCGTAACGATAATATGTGTAATCGGCGGAGAAGCACGTCTGTACGTCTTGACTGCTCTCCGAAGATCTGACAGCTGTTCACCGTCAACAATGGCACGTCGTCTTGACAACGCGACACCACGGGTGTCAGCACAGCACGGCATGCGATGGAGCATGGGCGTAATAATATAAATATATGTTATATAAGGAATATTTTATAAAAAATTTTATAAAAAAATTTAAAAAACCTATGTACGATTATAAAACTGGGCCAACGTCGGGCCAATGTCGGCTGCCAACTTCCGACTGTCGGCCCGGTACTGACTGTAACGTCACGTCGACGTCGGCATAATATCCAAATGATAAGATCGGCCCAACATTAACGCCAGTGTCGGGCCGACATTGGTCACCGACGTCGGGCCGACACTGGTCAGCGACGTCGGACCAACATTAAATTTCAGTGTTGGGTAGACATTGGTCACCGACATCGCCCCAACGTTAGATACCGTTGTCGAGCCGATGTCGATGAAATATCCAAATGATAAGATCGGCCCAACGTTAAAAGCCAGCGTCG